AAACACCAAGGCGCACGGAACGCACGCTGTTACCTTCCCACCGAAGTGGTATCTATTTATCTACTTGCAATGTCTTGCTTTCGAACAGCTAGGTTGGCAGGAGCTGGAACTAGAGATGGGAGCTCACTCCGTCATGCGGCACTGCTGTTCAAGACCTGAGTGTGCCGCATGACAGAGTGAGCTCCCGTCTTTGGCCCCAGCTCCTGCCAACCTAGCAGTTCGAAAGCAAGAAATTGCAAGTAGATAAATAGGTACCGCTTCGGTGGGAAGGTAACAGCGTTCCGTGTGCCTTGGTGTTTAGTCATGCCGGCCACATGACCGCGGAAATGTCTCCGGACAGCGCTGGCTCTTTGGCTTTGAAACGGAGATGAGCACCGCAACTCTAGAGTCGGACTCGACTGGCTTTCGAGCAAGGGGACCTTTACCTTTACTTTATGTAGTGGAAACAGAGCTATTACTTTAAGCACACATGAGTCTGGATGCTCACTAGGTTCAGATTACTGGAGTTTTCATGCACATAAATGACATATTAAAGATCACTTACGCTGGTCTCCCCAGGCCTGGAATCAAGGACACCCTTGAGTGACTGCAAAGAATGCATGACACACTGTTCAAACTGGGATGGCTAAAAGAAAGAGAAAAATGGCCAGCGGGTTAGCTGTAAAAGCTAGGAAGTGTGACTTCCTCTACATTAATCATCCAGCTGTACAGAAAGGGACCACATTGCTTCATGACAATTTCTGTCATCCGAATATTTAGATATGAAAAGGTTTAGGTTTGAAGGTCTAATAAAAGACCATGAATGTATTTGTGTTTGTATGTCTGTGTATACAAATCTGAAGCTACAATAGTGCAGAGCCATGCAAAAAAAAGGCAAACACCCCATGACCCATTATAACAATTTTCTATCAATCTAGTAACAATATATGACTCCATCTCACAACTCCTGGTGACAGGCCTGAAGTTAGTTTGATAAACAGACACTGCCCCATGGTCTTCCAGTGAGTTTTACAGGTGATGGAGAATTGGAAACAACAACCCACCCCATGACCCATTATAACAATTTTCTATCAATCTAGTAACAATATATGACTCCATCTCACAACTCCTGGTGACAGGCCTGAAGTTAGTTTGATAAACAGACACTGCCCCATGGTCTTCCAGTGAGTTTTACAGGTGATGGAGAATTGGAACTTAACCCTAGTCTGACACACAGTTCATAATACCACACCAGCTTTCTACCCCAGCTTTTAAGGTATGCATCTAAATATTTATAATGACCAGGGCTATTTTTGGGTAGGAACGCACAGGAACAGAGTTCCGGCTGGCTCCCAAGTTGGCCACGCCCAGCAGGAACTCATTAACATAATAGGCCACACCCAACAGCAGAAACTCATTAGGATTGGCTACAATTAGGGGGTGTGGCCTAACATACAAAGGAGTTCCTGCTGCAAACAAAAAGCCCTGGGTTTTGACAACAAACAAGGTAAAGAGAATAAGAAGCAAAAGGTGGGTGTGGTTGGATGACCACACTTCTGGTAACATGGGGGTGTGGCCTAATATACGAATGAGCTGTGCTGTCGGGGGTGTGGCCTAATATGCTAATGAGTTCCTACTGTTGGATATGGCCTATTATGCTAATGAGTTCCTGCTGGGCTTTTTCTACAAAAAAAGCCCTGATAATGACATTTATGCAACATTACACCTTCTTAACCGGACAAGACGATTCTCCTTCCTCAGGTCTACCAGGATAAAATCACCAAGGCTTGTGCTAGAGCATTGACCGAGGACACAAACAGGAAAGATGGGATTTCCCCACTATTGTTCAGGACTAAACAATGCCATTTCCGCCAAGGAGTTGATACATGAAATTATCTCACCGGAGCCTCACAAGAATTCATTGGAACAGGCCCTGACCTGGATAGCCCAGGCAAGCCCGATCTGGTCAGATCTCGGAAACTAAGCAAGTACTTGGATGGGCGACCTCCTTGGAATACCAGCAGTCGGAGGACAGGGGCAGGCTTTATTCACCCACCTCTCTGAATATCCTCTAGGCCCCCAGTAGGGGTCAGGCACCAGAGGTCGCCATGACTTCCAGGTGCACACACACTCACATGCGCAAATGCACGCACATGCATAGGAAAAATACAAAAAAGAGAGAATTCAGTGAAGCAGACAAACTGAAGATGCTAAACACTGTGTTATGAAATGCAGATGTCTGGAAACGTAATGATATGCCTACCAGACAGGTCAAGCCTTCATTATCTACAACCCAGTCCTCCTTCTCAGCCAATCTCTTTGCATCTGTAAAAGTGGAAATGGCACAAAGTTGTTATGCAGTAAAAAAAACCCCAAACCCTCTTTAAGAGAACCTGCACCAAATGACTTTATCTCCAGCTGCCGAACTCTGAGTCGTGTGACTTTAAAGCTGCAAAAGCTTTATACATAAAATGGGCTGACATCAAATCTAATTAACTATATGCTTGTAAGAAACTACACACAGTTCATGCTAGACTGAAAATATTAAAATAATGCTTTTGTGACACACATGAATAGACTGGACCATCATCACCATAATCTTATACTCTAAAAGCAAAGTTGGCCAAATCTCATACTTACATCTGGTGACTGGAGCTGTCAACAGGCAAGACAGATCTTTCTACAAACCAGGATATTGCCCCAGGTTTGTAGAAAAATCTGAAATCTACAAAAAATACACTGGGGGCTTTTTTAAAAAACCCAAAATAACAAATGGAGTGCCTATGGCTTTAAGCAACGGATTCCCTCACTGGTTGTTGCTAGGCAACTATAGATTCTAGACTTCATTCTGTCAGTAAAAGATAGGGGGAGGGGGCAGGACCCTTTCCAGGGCTGTTTTGGCCTTTAAGGGAAGACTCATTGGGGCCAGGCCTGGCTGGGGTTGCCAGCTCTATGTTGGGAAATTCCTGGAGACTTTATGTTCGAGTCTGAGGAGGGTGGAGGGGAGAGGCCTCAGCCATTTTTTTCTGTCCTGGAGTTCAGTTGTAATTCTGGGAAATCTCCAGGTACCACCTGGAGGTTGGCAAACCTAGTCCCAGCAGCAGCCTCTGGATGACCTGTTACCACCTGACTTGCATGACAACTGGGCCTGGCTGCTTGCTACTCTTCAACAGCAGCCACTATATGAAAGCCAGTGTGGTGTTGTGGTTAGTGCTTCAGTGAAGGGTCTAGGAGATTCAGGTTGGAATTCCCATCTTGCTGCGGAAGCTCACTGGGTAATTTTGGACCAGTTGCATGCTTTCAGCCTAACCCACCCCACAGGGTTGTTGTGCAGATAAAAAGGAGAGGAGATAAATGTAGGCTGCTTTGGTCTCCACTCTGAAGCAAGGTGAGGTAAAAATAAATAGTAAATACGGTGGAAGATGGGAGGTATATAAAAGGTAACTTGGCGAATGTCTGAAAAGGACAGAATGAGGCAGGGGAAGGGGAGATGGTATGGGAATTAGTGGGGGGGAGAGGAAATAGTGTGGGGAGGGGGATACACGGGAAAGTGGGGTGCCATGTCTCAAGTCCTTGAGGGTTCTCTATCATGCAAGTGGGCCTGGCCCAGTGACTGGCACCACACAACTGGGCCATAGTTTTCCTTGGCAGAGGCTGCTGGGGGGAGGAGCTGAAGACAGATGGGCAGATAAAGATAGGTCGGCTGTTGGGTGGGAAGGAGAGAAGGAATCAAGAACAGTGGAGAGACTGTGGGTGCTTTCAGGAAAAAGGAAAGAGGAAATAGTTGGGGAGGAAAAAAAAATGAGATGCCTCCGCAAGTCCTTGTGGGTTCCTGCTTCTTTCATCCATAACAGCCAAAGTTACTTTTGAGAAGATGAGTTCTGATTAACCTTTTGCCGATCTGAACTTTTATTTTTCGTCTGACTATACCAACATGGACAGTTTTAAAGCACTGTGCAACAAGGACAATTTTAAAGATAAACATACACTGATGAGATCAGAGTTGTTAGCACCATTCAGGGGGGTGGAAATTCAGTGCTCATAAAAAGTGCTACAAAGATACAAGTCGCAGGAGTATATCTTAATACCTTCAGTGGTGTGCTGTAAAGTAATCATTATACAGCGAACTCTGAGATCAAAAATGAGATCCTGAATGATCTGAAGCATGTCATTCGGTATTTCAAGCGCGGTAAGAGATTCATAACAGAGCCTGGAAAGAAAGGAAGAAAGAAAGAAAGAAAGAAGTCATTGAAACTATGGCTAGCCTATGGTTTATTATTCAGCGAAATACTAAACAGAATCACAATTACTACAGAGACCTAGGCTTGTAAGGAAGAAGTGATTTTTCTTCCTTCACCACATAGCTTTCTTCAGGGCTATTTTTGGGCAGGAACGCACAGGAACGGAGTTCCGCCTGGCTCCCAAGTTGGCCACGCCCAGCAGGAACTCATTAGCATAATAGGCCACACCCAACAGCAGAAACTCATTAGGATTGGCTACATTAGGGGTGTGTGGCCTAACATGCAAAGGAGTTCCTGCTACAAAAAAAGCCCTGGGTTTTGACAACAAACAAGGTAAACAGAATAACAAGCAAAAGGTGGGTGTGGCTGGATAACCACACTTCTGGTAACATGGGGGTGCGGCCTAATATGCTAATGAGCGGTGCAATCAGGGGTGTGGCCTAATATGCTAATGAGTTTCTGCTGTTGGGTGTGGCCTATTATGCTAATGAGTTCCTGCTGGGCTTTTTCTACAAAAAGAGCCCTGGCTTTCTTCATCTTTTATATGACAGCTAGCATCACACCGTCATCCCTCACTAGCTTAAGATTGTGGTGACTCTAGACTTTTCACACTTTGGAAATATTCTCACTTTTTCCTCCTGAGTGTACGTGGCCCTGGATGACAAGACTGATGCTCTGGGCACAAACCTTTCACTTTTCTGCAAGCCTGCACTGACGATCACACCCCAGTTCCACCTCTCCCAGAAAGCAGCCAGTGACTGCTGACAGAATGTTGGGGGAATGCGGCCAGTTGCCAGTTAATGAGAAAAAAAAAGAGCCACGTGAGAGGGAGATGGGTTTGAATCTGTGACTGAAAGAGCATAAGCTAGTTGTCACTAAGATAGGTTGTAACTGGGAGGACTGGAAGAATGAAGAGAGTTTGGGATCAAACG